AAATCTATGTCTCTTTAATCTCTGTATTTTCTGTTTATTTCTCAACTATAATTTGCTATAATGATTCATTTTACTTTTTACTTAGAAGAGTAGGAAAGAAAAAGAATGAGTTATCCAGTCTATTTAGTGTTGAAAGGTAGAAATGTTTACCTGCTGCAGAGGCAAAAATAAGGAAATGAAAGCTTACCAGAGTGACTAAGGCAAATAAGTGACTAATTCATCGTGATCAAGAAGTCCTAGACTTTTCTTAATCCCAGTTTAAACTCAGACACATCCTGGAACCATTTCAGAGTATTGTGCTAAGATCTTAGCCCAGCCTGAGAGCCTGTCCAGCCTGCTAGCTGGACCAGACTAGCTGTGCCCCAAGGAAATGAACACCAGCGAATTATTTTCAAATTAACTGCTGCTTGAACAAGGGCACCCAGAGGGATAGTTCAGACTGGAGACTGCAGAATTCTTCTATCCAGTCAAACTCCATGATCAGCAAAGGATTGATGGCCTTTCTGCAGAAAAACTGACCGAAGTCACAGTGGTGCTTGCTGGGAAGCAGAAAAGGCAGCTGCCAACTAGAAGCTGATTGCCTAACAAAGATGTTTGCTCTTCTCTGTTGAGGTCCCCAGTAGAGGGTACCTTTTGGATAGCTCAGCATCGTGTTGGTTTTCCCAGCTTCCAGAATGTACCACAAGAATAGCCTTCCAAGCAGCATCCCTCATAGTGTAACTTTTATCAGAGGCTCTTTTTTTTTTTTGGTACCAGGGATCGAACTCGGGTCCTTGCGCTTGCGCAGCAGGTGGCGAAACCACTGAGCTAAATCCCCAGTCCCTATCATAGGCTCTTTTTCCTCCACCACCAACTCTTTCTTGTGATTTCCTGGAGCAGGGCACTGGATCTAGATTTGCTTAAACTTTTTAAGGTGGGAAATGGTGGGAGTATGAAAGAATATCAGTTCTAGCAATGAGTGCAGGTCCCAGGCCTGTCCTCCTAACTGATAATTTGCCCCTTGTCTTATTTCTTACCATTCCTGTTTTTTCTACTTCCAGCCAGAAAATTGACCTGCTTTTTTCCCAACTCCTTAAACTGTTGGAGCCCAGCAGATTTAACTGTAAGATGTTTTGTGATGCTACCCTTGCTGTGATGAGTGAAGTGGGGATGCTCTTCCTAGTACTGAGTAAAACTCCCGAACCAGCTCTGAAGACACCTAATCTTTTCAGAAGTAGAACATCAAAGCTACCATGCTTCTCATCTCTGCTATCCTTGCCCCTTGCAGATAGAAGGCCCTGTCACATACCCTCATCCCTGCTCCTTGGAGAGATTTCTACTAAAAGAACCATCCTCTCAATGCCCTTGTCTGAAATTGTGGTTTGTTCCTGGGCCTTTGGGAACCTATTTTTTCTATAACAAGTAGGCTTTTTGATGGCCTCAGAGTTGTTTTTGAAAGCCTCCACCTCTTGTTCACAAGGGAAGCATGGATTCATGAAGAGAGTATTCCTTCTTTTGCAATTTCAACTTCCCTTTTGCAAATTTCACCTCCAGGCTTTGGAGATGGAATGAGCATTTTCCTAACTCTTCATAGTTCTCTCATCTTAAGTGAAACTTTCAGACCTTGAGACTCATGAAGTCCAGCCACTGTCCTTCCTGACTGGTGAGGTAAGACCCAGCAACATGATCTCTTTCCTGCTTCATGTCTTCTTTCACGTGCTTGTTCACACTTTTCTGCTGATTGGAATATGTGTCCTTTCATTCCTTCCTACTTTTCTTTTGCTGCTACCCCAAAAACCCCTGCCAACAGAGATTTCTTTAAATCTTACTGTATCTTTTCTTCAGCATATAATATGGTACATAATCCTATGTGGTGCTTTTATTTTTATTTTGCTTTTATTTAAATCTTATAATGCTGTTTAACTTTTTAAACGTTATGTGCCTCATATACCCAGGTAGATTGTCAAACTCTTTGAGGATAGAACCTTCTGGGAATTTCTTTGAAGTAATTATCAACAAGCCTAGTCCTAATATTTATCATTAGTCTAAACCTAATATTTAAGTGTCTGATAACTTTGTTGAATGAAAGGAAGAATCATGAATGAATATTTCAAGATGTTGGGGATCCCTACTTTCTTTTGTTAACCTTTTAAGGTAATTTTCTAATACAAGCTCTTAGTTCTGTTTTAATTTACTATGAAGTTTGAAAGATCTATATAATTTGAACTCATAAGAAAAACATTTTAATTAAACATTCCAAAGTTATAGAGTCAAAATAGTATTTATATCCACTGTCATCTCAGTAAATAAGGAAATACAGCAGCCGTAAATGAAAGCTTAATATTCCATAGTATTAATCTCTAAAACATGTCTGTCTTTTGCTACATATTAGAAAACTAGCTCTAGAGTTAAAAAAAAAAAAAAAGAAAATGGAACCTGAAAGCCTAGTAACTTCTTTTAATTGCTTGCTTGTTTTCCTAAAAGCATGAAAGAGAATGGGAATGATTAAGGATTTAGAGAAAAAACCCTATTATTTATATCTCATGATACTGTGAGAGCTCCCCATAGGATGCTTTTTGCTATACATTGAACATCCTTTGGTATCAAAGTACTTTTCATTTTATGAAACTGTACCCAGTGGAGAGTAAGTTAAGTAGGATGAGACTTGGAAAAATTGAGAACTGTTAAATGTGGGAGGAAGTAGGTTGTAACTGCTGAACCATCCTTTGCTTTGATTTCTCTGTTCTGTGCTGTATCTAGGAAGCAGTGTGTCATCCTAGCTACAGTGGAGCAGATTCATACATATTTACTAGTTGCAAATTATAAATGTGCAGCCCGGAGAGTAGCAGTGTTCTTTGTCTCTCTGCTTTTCTTCGTTCACTGATGATTCAAAACTCTTCATACATCCAGCATTTGGAAACGGGTTTTGTAGTTTGTCATATCCTTTGTACACCAATTAAGTCTTTGTAATTTAAATGGAATTTTATTTTCCAATTTGGAAGCTTACATGGAAGTAGACTGAGGTTTTCTCCATCCTGTGTGGAGCCTTTGATGTAATGATTTATTAAGGTACTAGGAGAGATATTGATCCTGCTAATAGCTTCTGCTTTGCCATGTAATGTTTTACATTTTACTCAATTGAAAGACCATATTCTCTTTCTCCTCATCTGATTGACCATAAATGTTTTGGCCTTTCCTCAGTAATTATCTCACCAAAGCAGTGGGTAAAAGTCAAGTATTTATAGACTAATTAGTGAAGTCAACATGTCTAAATAGAATACTTTACATAATACCAAGAAGTATTGTATAGTACTTTAAAAGTAACAAAGTTTGGTACAATGCAAAAAAAAAAAATCCTCAGGTGAAAACACAAATGATTAAGGGCACATATGAGATTTGATAAAAAATTACAGTGAATGCTTAAATTAAAAAATATTATTACAATAAAAGACATGTTGCCATTAATCTCCCTCAAAATATTCTTCCTTGCTTCGAACACATTTATCCCATCATTCTTGCCACTTTCTAAAGCAGTTTTGGAAGCCCTCTTCTATTAGTGTCTTTAGTTTTACTATCATGGGTGCCTAAATGTCCTGAATCAGTTCAAAACATTTGCCTTCCATGGTCATTTGACTTTGGGGAAGGGCCAGAAGTTGCAGGAAGCCAGATCCAGTGAGTAAGGTAGGTGAGAACACACCATAATGATTTTATGAGCCTGTCTTTCTGTTGGATGGCACTGAGCAACAACATTCACCACACTTTTTTATCACACCTCATGAAGACATTCATGAAAGGGGACTTCCAGAGCTGCTTCAGAAGGATGCTGCTGCATCCTTTCTGGCAAGAAGGATGGGAAGAAGAATGTATTTGAAACAGTGGTGAATATTTGAGGGACATTAATGGCAATGTATCTTTTAATTTAATAAATTTGTTTTATTTAAATATACACCATTTTTTGTTTGTTGTTTTTATCAGCCTTTGTATGCTCCCAATGACCGTTGTAATTTATAGGTTATCAGGACAGAACCAATACTATGTTTTAATAATAGCGCTTTTGCTCTGTGGCTTCTCTCCTTAATCCTAACTTCTTTTTGTTTATGAAAGCTCTGGAATATTAGTGGTTTATTTCAGATTTGATTTTTTGAGTTTACTGTCTCAGAATACCAATAGTTGATGACAATGCAAGGGTAATTTTGTTTTATATGAAACTGCTTTGTACTTTCACGTGTTTTAAGAAGTATCAATTCTTGTCTGAGGTATAATTAGTTTGATTTTGAAAGTAAGAAAAACACTGCTGGTATAACAGAATGTGTATTGAACTGTGAGTAAGAAAACCTTTTCTGAGGCCTGACTTTGTAGCCAGTCACTGTGTGTCCTTGCACTGGCCACACAAGTCCTTTGGGCACCAATTTCCTCATTTTGAAACAAGAGATACAAAAAATTTATAAAAATCAAAGGGGATAATGAATGTCCAATTATGTTGTAAATTGTATGGTGCCATAGAGATGTAACTTTTAAAAAATCATCTACAATTATATACTGGTCATTGAAGGATTGCTTTCAAAATAAATGTAGGCAGAAATAGGATTGCAGCCCAGACTGTGATTAGGTTAGTAATGTTACTATTTTTTCCAGTATTGTTCCTTTTGATTCAGTGTATAGCCAGATCCTTTTGTAACCTGCCTTTTACATCCCATTTACCTTGTGTTAAGAATGAAGAATATCTCTGGAATCTCCAGAAGTGATTATGTGATTTCTTTGGAAATAACAAGAAATGTTTCATTATCTAGGACTCATGTGTAATTATTTATATTTTTCCCAAGTACCATTAGTTTACTTGGAGAGATGCTTTGTGCTTTCTCACAGTATTCTAGGCCTAGAGTGGAAAGTAAAACCAACAATAAACTTGTCCTGAGTATGTCTGCCATGGGTGAATATCACATGTGCCTGAATCATGCCATTCTTTTGTTTGTTCATTATTTTGTAGTTCCTTTAATCCTTCCACTTGTTATTATCTGCAGGAACTAACAATTTGCAGAAGCAAAGGCCAAAGCAAAATTGAATGGTGCACATGACTTCAAAAAGGGAGAAGGCAGACATGTTTAAGTGAGCCAATTTTAAAGAAACGGTAAGTACTGTGACACCACTGAGATCTGAACCGTCTTTTCTGGCTTTGTCACCAGATCAGCTGAGTGTAAAGCCTAGTCTTATCTAATGCAGAGCTGTTTTTCCTTGTTTTTTTGGTATGTTTTAGAAAATTAAAATAGTTGTAGAATGATAGTAGACCTATGTCCACTATTAATCGTTGTCATGACTATTTCATAGACTACACAATGTAGGTTTCCCCAAATCAACACATAGGTGTTTTAACTATAGCTATACAGTTCTAGTCCAAAAATAGTAATATTTATTTTCAGTTTTGTTGCTGTCATGTTTGTATGTTAATACCAATGTTTAGGTGCTGGTGGTGTCTGTAGGATACCTGTCTCTGCCCAGATTTCCCAGTTTGTTTCAGGACCCCTCCACCTCCATCTCTATATCCTTTATTTCCCCCTACAAAATATCCCAGTCTCCAAAATTGCCTTCTACTCATCTGTATTAATACAAACTCCCATTTTTTTTCTTAGGACAAATAAATATTACTAATTTGTAATAAGGTGTCTGTGACCAATGGCACTGATGTCTTAATTCTCTACTTTTAAGGAGAGTGATAGCCTCCAAATATGCCATTTACTTGGCTAGGTAACAATTTGTTCATTCATTAGGTCAACAGAAAACTGAGTGTTGCATCTTACCTTGATATATTAAGACGTAAAAGAGTGTGAAGTTAGGGAGATCCTTAGGGATGGGTTGATCCTAGACCTCAAATTATTACCTAGACAGTACTTTTTATGGCCAGCTTATTTTGGTTCTGCTGTTCATGCCCAGGAGTGCCCATTATCTTACCCATACCTACTGTATAGGCAGCAGTAATTTTCCTAGCAAATGGAAGGAGGAAGAATAATAAAAATGATGGGAGGAAGGGAGCTGGGGCATAGAGATGCATTGAAAACCAAGGGAAGGGAAAGGTTAGCCAGAGAGTTGAAAAATTTAACCTTCAAGGTCTCTTCTTACCCTAAGATTCTGTATAAATGAGGGGGGAAAAAGGGTGAGAAAGCAATGTGATTCAGGGAAAGGGGAAGGTTCTGGGAATATAGTGAAAAGCTGCAATTTTTAGCTAAAAATTTCCAGGTTAATAAATATGTTATGATGAGTTGTTTACCTCCTGGAGCTGAGGTGAGCCCTGTTCTGGGATTTCAATGAATTTCAAAAATCAGTTGGCATATGGCCTCCCTGGAATTCCCTTTCAGGACCTCAGAGGACATCTCCCATACGAAGCTGAGACTGTCAGTAAAAACTTCCACATGTTCTTTTTTGAGCATTCACTTCTCTATGTCAGAACCCTCCAAGGAGGTTAGTACGACATCAGAAATATCTCTGAGTGACATGGTAAAGGCTCCTGCTCCTCCCTGTAGGAGTTGGAGATGATTTTGGCTCCAGGGACGTGTGGAGACCAGGAAAGGCCAGCAGGATATTGAAATACAGAGAGGCCAAGAACACAACCCATCTCCTTCTAAAACAAATGTTTTCTAAACTGAGAAATTAAATTTTATGTGAAAAGAATTTAAATATGCTAAGCTTACTACATATTCTTAAGTCAAAACAACCTTATGCTGTATGAGTTGGTTCTTAGGCACTGTTGTACCTGAGAGCTTCCTGCCCTGCCTGAGCATGGCCATGGAAAGGGACAGATGTTGGGAGTCTGCAGGAGGCTGGAACAGCTTCATGGACTATTGTGCCATCAGGATATTGGGTGCAATTTAAACTGGTATTAAGATACAAAATGTTATTTTACCATTCAGTTATTATATTATCAAATATAATCATTAACTGTTGCAGGTTATTAAACCTATGAAATCAAATTTGACTTTTAAGATATCTTAATGTACCTTTTAAGATAAAAAATGTTTTTGATGTATAGAAATTCTCTGTAGCTTCAAAAGGTCAGTAACTTCCTGAAGCAGAAATGTACCATGTAAATTTTAGAGGATAAATAATCCCCTAAGCTTAATATAATTGCTCCATTTTGAAACCTCATCATGAACAAATGTTAGCTCTGTTCTATGTTAGGTGTGTTATGCTTGGAGGAGAATTTGAGAAAACATTTCTTGAAGAGATAACATTCTCCAATTTTGATTTCATTTTAAAAATCCAAGTGAAATTAAATTTAGGATCTTTTTAATAGTTATATGAAATTTCTTATTTTAAAAAACCTTATCTCTTGCATGATGAGGGTATTTGAAAGATGTTACTGGGATAGAGTACAATTACAGTAGGATTTTACTCTCTAAATATGGATTGTTTATGATCTAACCTCTTAAACAATTAAAAGGCATACTTCATGATTTGAAAGTTTTGCTTAAATAGCACAAACTGGTAATTTAAATTACTGTTATAATACCTCAAAAGATTCACTGGGCCAAGATGACTAATTCTCATTTTTAGACAATATCATGTGCAACTCCTTTGCTATGTACAAGTATCCTGGAAATTGCTCTTAGGATCTTTGTAAGGAAAAAAGGGATTGTGCTACTTTTTGAGCCACATTATTGTGGGAAACTGGCTTAAGCTTCCTGAGGCTCTGTTTTCTCATATGTAAACCAGGCCAGTAATAATTTAACCCTCTCAGAGTTCTCAAGGTGGTTGACTGAGGCAATGAATAGCCTTGAGATAAGATATGCAGTTACATCTAATCTTAAGCAAGTACTAAATAAATGTACCTTATCTGCAACCAGGTATGAAACTAGGAAGCTGGGTAGGCAAAGCTACTCTCAAAATGCCTCTAAATTTCCCATAATGAACAGCATGTGAGGTTCTCTGCCTACTTATACCATCTTTCCAGAATTCCTGCATGGCCAATTGTCTCTCCAGTGTGAAACCAGATTGTTGCTGATGAGCACTGAAGGTAGATACCAAGTGGAATGTGGATGACTCCGCTTGTGTGTAATGCACCCGATACTGTGCCTCACACAGCTAATATTAGTTAACCTTTTCCTTGACCTTAGTACCCTGATCTCTCCTGAAACTCTAGGATCTTCACGTGGAATTCAGTATAAGTTTAAACTTGATCACCAGAGTTCAAGTTGACATGAATGGTTTTGAAACCTGCAATGCCAGAACTGGGTTAATGTAGAATGGTTCTCATTTTCATGGGAGATGGAGAAGACCTATGAGCATTAGGCTCAGAGCATATATACTTTTATAGGATGCAGAGGACTATTCTCTAGAATCAACTTGTGTAGTTAGTATATTTTAAGTAATGGTAAATTTCAGCTGTGTTAAAAATAACATCATCTGAAAAGTCATACATTGCTGTTCCATCGGCTATTTTTACATAAAGTATCTTTGATCTTAGTGGAATGCAAAACTTCTATTTTGGGGAAGTCAGAAGATGAGCTGAAAATATAATGAAGTTAAAAATGAATCATTGTTTCACTAGGTTTGGGATTAAATTAGAGAGACTAGCACTTCCTAATGAATTATTTTAAGATACTTTAGCACTTAATATTTTCCTATTCTTATCTGAATTTAGGCCTAATGAATAGGTAAACATGCATTTCTCAGTTACTGAATTTTCCACTTTTCATTTACAAGGTAAAGACATTAAAGAAGGAAACTTGGTTAGGGTAATTGTATTTTAATTTCTGAATAAATCCAATGTGACTGATATTACAGGGACCCACTGACAGACCATCGGAAATAATCATCTCTGTCAACAATGACAGCCCAATTCTGCAAATTCTCATTTTGTGTCAAAGATTGTCCTAGGTGTCAAGAATAAAATACCTTTGGGGAATTTATTATACATAAAGCAAACAAATAGAGTTTCAAAACTTGTTATAAATTCAGTGATAGAGGGAAAAACCAAGAGTGGTGAGAGGATCAGAAGGGAAGAGAGTCCAGAGGAGCTCTTTGTTATTCTAATGAACTATTTTAAGTGAATGGTTCAGTGGGATTTGGAGAGATGATACCTGGACTTCATTTTGATAGGCTTTTGATGGAAAGAAGAAGCAACAATGAATGGAGGGAAAGCAAGAGTCTATAGTAACATTTATCAGTCTTAGATGGCAGCATGCAGCCCTTTCTCAGTAACAACACAATATTTTCCTTTGGGAGCCACGTTGCATCTTCCCTATGGAACCAAGAGGTGCAGCTGCAGGAACAGAATCCCAGGACTGGCCAGTCAGCCTTTCAGAATCCGTGTCACTCTCTGGCCTCACAGACCACAGGAAGGGCCTGTGAACCAAACCAGGCTGAAACTCTGCCCTAAGACACATGTTGAACTCTTAGAAGTTGTTTTGTTTTATTTTGTTTTGTAGCACTGAAACTGCTCCATGATACAATGAAATATGGAGCTTCTGGAGTCATTTTGTTTCCTATTAAAAATGAAGGCAATGCACAGGACAGCAGAATTAACTGATGTAGAAATGTTTGTGTAATTTAAATACCTAGGTCTACCCGAACCCTTTATCCCTTGGACTTTTCAGTTATGTTTGCCCATAAATTCCCCTTTTTAATTCAGTCTCCTGGAATTAGGTTTCTGTCATTTGCAACTGGAATATCTCTAACAGAGGTCCTTTTTAGAGGCAGGGATTTAGAAACTGTTTTGCTTGTAAGAAATTTTGTAATTTTTTTTCTTAAAAAAAAACAAACAAAAATGAAGAACCAAAACCATGTCAGTTTCCAAATAAGTGCATTTGTAAAAGAGCTCACTTTTCTCTGTCTCATATTTTCAAATAATTAGATATTTAATCTCAGTTTTCAAATCATTGTCTTATTTTGGAGTAGAATTTAATATTAGTTATACTCAAAAGAAAAGAGGCCTTCAGCCAAACACAGAAAGTCATTGTTTGTTTGTTTTTTTTAAGATTTATTTTGTTTTTATGTACTGTACAGCTACTCTTATGGGGAAAACCTAGTTTCTGACCAAGGATTCCCCAGCAGTGGAAGAGTCAAGCCTGTCAAGTAGTTTAGGGTGTGCGATTGGCTTCTCTGTGGTGAGGAGGGTCAGAGCTGTCTTCTAGGATT